TCAATTATGTTGTCTTCTTTTTTTTTTTTTAGATAGATAGGTCTTTATTGCCTAAAATGTAATACCATTTGTTGACAAAGTCATGTTTATAAATACATAAAATGTTAAAAATATATGAAATGTTGTTCTTTTCAAAGACTATATAGTATTCACAAAAATACAGTGAAGATGAAAAATAACAGACAAAAAAAACAATCAAAAAATATCAAAGATAAGAAAAAATGTTCAAATATGTTCTGTATCTTCACAGTAGGGAGGATGAGAGTAGATACAGCACTTAGGCAACATGTGATCCATTGTACATCCTCCCGAGGGGTTGTCCTTCCGGATCATCGTCCTTTCCAGGTCACTAGGAGACATCTCCTTTATATTGGCAGATGTAGGCCAAGACTCGCCGAACACACACCCTCTTTGGCAGCCTTGAGGTGTCTTACGGTGGCCTCCGCGAAGGTTTTGGAAGGTGCAAATATGCATTACTATCGTTGCACGGCTTCTTCAACCTTCTTGGGGTTACCTCCGTGGAGGTGCACAAGTCAGGGAGCTTTCCTGCAGGAACAACCGGTTCCTTGCCGTTATTTGAGGCGAAGCTCTTGGCGCCCGCCGCAGGAAGTGCTTTTGCTGTTGGAGGTGGAGTGGGGGAGGAAGAGGGTGCACTTATAGTTGCTGCCACTCCTGCCTCCTTCGCCCTCTTTCTCCTTTTTGCTTTGGCACCGCAACTGCGCTCACGCCTTGGCCTTTGTATTTCATCACGAGGTGATCTGCTATGTCCAGCCTCATTCCAAGCGGTAGATTGGGGTGGACATTTCTGTTCAATAAATACAAGTATTCTACTTTAAAAACATACACTTATTCATTTGCATGCTATTTCCTGAGCTTTTCAATTAATTAATTTCAATGAATTGAATTTTTTTTTTATATTGTTTTTGTAATATTAAGCGAATCCCTCTAGATAATCGTCAGATTATGAGACAGAATGTCTAAAACATAAAGATGAACCATATATATCTCAATCTGACGCGCTTGAGTATTTCAAAATGGCGAATTATTTTTGCACATTATAATAATGACCGCGAGTTTGCGTCAGATCGAAATCGTCAGATTGTTGAATGAGAGCTTTTTTTGTTGCACTTAACACCCCCTTAGAAAATCTGACGCGCTCAATAATTTTTTTTTCTTTTCACTTTTGATCCTTATTTATAACCACCCGCATCATGCAAACGATCAGATTAACATACCAACATTATTAAAAATACGTAGTACATTGATGCTATCAATATCTGACGCGCTCGAGTATGTCCATGCAACAGTATTTTTTTACATATTCAAAAATCTATAGCCGCTTCCCCCACCGATGAAAAAGTATATATTACATAACATTTTATTCTTCTTATCATCTAAGATTTGCAACCTGATAAGTCTCAATGACGCTCGAGTAAATCCCCATTTTGCATCGTGGGCTTCTCTGCTATGTGTGTTTGGCATAGTCTGCGGTTTCTTTTATGCTCCTTCAGCCTTGTTTCCATGGATCTCTTGGGATAGAGTTTTTCAATTCTGTCTGTGACCCTAGGAATGTCTAGTAGACACGCAAGTGCAACTATTTGAGCCTCCTCTCCGGTTTCAACCATGCAAAACTTGTTGATTTCGGGTACATTGTATCCTTTCGATCTCAAGGTCACTTGAAGATGTTCCAGTTCTTTCTCTATATGCTCTGGTCAACATATTCTTCGACGGTGCCTTCAAACCCGAAAAGTAGTGACACTGTTAACCTCAAGAGCTGTTTCACCTGAAATTGTAATTGTTTAGAAACAAAAATGTATTATTATAATACTAGGTAGTGCTAACATATTTGTAAAAAGTTTGGTGATGAGACTGCTGTTTGTCGAGATTTGACCGTTTGGCGGGCGATGACCGTTTTCCGCTTGATCACAGGTTTCCATGTATTGCGTATAGCTTGACTGAATGCGTCAATGGACTAAATATGTTCAGCTTCTTTGAAATTCCTCTTGAACCAGTGTTCCATCTCCCTGTAGATGACCTTGGCTTGGGACCACTTGATGTTATGTTGATGAGGCCAAACATGGTCTGCTATTCCAGATTTGATATTTCTCCTCGCTGTGTGTCTCTCTTGTGTTCAGCAATGCGATCAACTCCCGCCAAAAGGTCAACTCATGGTGAAGTGGAGAAAAGGAAACCCCAGTTACTATGTCATCAAAAATAAACGAAACAAAGACTCCTCTACCCCATTTGGTGCTAATATAACACTTTAATGACCCCGTACTACATTTCTACTGAAGACAGATTGAAGATTTTGAATTCACTTTGGCATATTTGTTAATGACTGTAACCTTCATTGTGTTGATCGTAAGTGAATGAGCGGTTTTTTATTTCAGGTACAATGTGAAGGTCATAAAACTATTGTGTTTTTTTGTTTTAAATTATGTTCTGCTTATTTGATAACAAATTTGAATTATTTTCAATTCATAACAAAATAGGATAACTGACATGCACATCTCTGAATCTATATATTAATCGAATCTTCAATATTTTGACTCAATTTCAAAATATCCAATTCATATACCAAAATTTCGATTTATGAAGTCGAAATTCTGTGTGGCCCTTCTGCGTTTCATTAATTATCATGTACCTACCAAGCAGATTTCAATGATTCATGAACGAAGGACATCCTCTGGCACAAAGAAACTAGTCAACCAAATAACCTCTGGAGGACAAAGGTTATCAAGATTATAGATACAGAAACAGCAGTATTCTGTTTGAATTTTTCTGAGTTGAATGAAATACTCACGTTCAATTTCCTCTTGCACCTCGAATAGTTCAAAAAGAAGTTGATCTTCAACTGCAGAAAAGTTTTATTGTGTTCTGCTTGGTCGTCCACCGGAAACTTCTTCAAGGCATATTGGTAGCGATGGGCTGCTTCTCTCAATCTACTCTTTCGGTAGAGTATATTTCCGTCTTCTAAAAGTTTATTGAGAAGTATTAGCCTGTAAAAAATAAGAAATAGAAACTCTCTATACTGATACTCTGAACCATGATCATAATCAAACTTCCGAGTGAATTTTTGGCATAGATTTAACCAGTTGAACTTTTTGAATTGAAGAAATGGAAGTTAATTTGCTGAGAAGTTACTTCAACAATACACGTGGCATAAACCTACATTATATCTGGTTTGCCTGAAGCCATGGCCCACGTCGCTGGTCCCAACTTAGCCCCTTTCTTCAAAAAGCACTGAACGACCTGGATATTTCTACAGCCTATGGCTCTGTCGAGGGGCCTCATTCCGTTTATATCTACATGCTCTATCACAGCTCCCCTGTCGAGAAGAAGTTGAACCAAGGCCTGATTTCCTTGGAAAGCTGCCAGATCCAAGGGAGTTCGGCCTGTTTTGTCCGTGTGGTTGATATTTGCTCCTCGTTCTACAAGGCATTGAGTTGCTTGGAGTTTTCCCCTGAGGCAGGCCCAACAAAGGGAAGTGAGTCCTTCGCGATCTTCTTTGTTGATGTCGGCTCCTGGAATGAATGTCATATTGAGCGAAAATTTTATTATTAGCGTTTCAAATATTACTTTCTTGAATATGTATCAAGTCGAGTGTAGAAAAAACTTTCGATTCAATTGTTACTCGAAGTGAAATAGACAAAGAGAAATACTACTACGTGTTTCTGTTCACAAATAATAGGTAAATAAAAAATTGCTATTGAACTTGTCGATTTTAGTATGATTTGATGTCACACATATGAAAGTATCAAATTATTATATAATTTTCAATCGTTTTATCAACATTCTTCTTTGTTGGGGTTGATATGGATTACTATCATTATCCCTGAGGTTGCGCTTGTCGGACCCTATCCCCCGAAGCCCTAATCCATTCGGCATTCGGCATCAACGACAGCATTAACAACGACGAATATCGTCTTGCTCTAATGGTCAGACGTATTCGCTTGTATGAGCCTAAGGTTGGGGAACGAATAGTTCCAATAAATGCAACATTTCTCGTTCCCCACAACGGGTTCAATATCTCCCGGAGCTTAGAGCAACACCGCTGTCTCGTCAAATCTGTAAAAGTGCTGTAGGTGGTGATAAAGCACTCTTAGGGCCGCGTGATGTCGATGGATATAGGCTTACACCACAAATGATGGACTCGCTGACAGCAAGTGCATCAGAGCATCAGACGCCTCGCAGCAGGCCCTGGACATTTTATCAGGAACCTCTATACCCATCACGCGGCTACGGTAGACTGAGGTGTTGAAGACACCATCCTGGAAGACCATGTGATTTCAGCACACACGAACTGAGGAAAGCGAAGGCCAAGGTCTTCAATGTTGTTGAAGAAGACCCCAATACATTGACTTATCCTTGTATTGCCTCAGGAGTAAAGTGATCTCTGCAGCTTTTATACGAGCCTTTTGCTGGACGGGTTCCAACTTGGTGATGGAGTTGGATCATCTTGTTCAGTGTTGAAAACTTGAGTTCATCAGCTGCTCGGGCAATTGCTCTGAAGAGAAATGCCCCAATTCCTGCTCTTTCGTGGCCGTAAACCATGCAGATTATTATTACTATCATCATTATTATTAAAATATCATTCACCTTAATGCAGTTCGAGTTCAGTAATTATTGTTTCTGTAAATTAAACATTTTGATGAGGTGGGACAAGTCTATTAGGTATAAGAGTGATTCAGTTAGCAACAATATTCAATAATATCTTGAATTGTGACATAAGCGTATTAGTATAATATTTCAGATAACCTGAAAAGCTAAAATGTTCAATGAAGTGAAAAACTGCAATAGACATAGACATAATAGACATAAATACCATGAAATGAAAAGGATGATCCACATCAGTTTCCAATTGCAATTATGCAATAGTTCATTCTACAGATAGATTCCATAATAATACGTGGAGAACTTTTGTGAAGCTATTATCTACGGAAGCGCAGAATATCCACATATTTTCATTTTATTCTCAATAATTCGAACTCAATATTTCGACTTCAATCTCAAAATTTAGACTTGATAAGTTCGACTTTATAAGTCGAAATTTTAGGATATAAATATTATAATCTCGAAATTTTTACATCAAACTCAAAATTGGAGTTTCACATATAATTATTTCTGACTTTCAAAAACTTTTGAGGTGACATTTCGAATCTTCAATATTTTGACTCAATTTCAAAATTTCCAATTCATATACCAAAATTTCGATTTATGAAGTCGAAATTCTGTGTGGCCCTTCTGCGTTTCATTAATTATCATCCTCTGGCACAAAGAAACTAGTCAACCAAATAACCTCTGGAGGATAAAGGTTATCAAGATTATAGATACAGAAACAGCAGTATTCTGTTTGAATTTTTCTGAGTTGAATATAGTTTTCTTTAGCTTCATTATATGTGTATTGATAACCGGCTAAGTTAATGCCATTGCTGTTCCACTATTCATGCTACGATATTAAATATATGCTGTATAAGAAAGAACACATTGGTTATTAAAACAGTTGTTTCAGGTGGGCTGAACAGTTAGTAAACTGACACACAGATGGCTTCACTAGTATTGAATCCATATGATCTCTGTTCAAAAGACACGTGTCATGTTATAATATTAAATATATGCTGTATAGGGAAGAACACATTGGTTATTAAAACAGTTGTTTCAGGTGGGCTGAACAGTTAGTAAGCTGACACACAGATGGCTTTACTAGTATTAAATCCATATGATATCTGTTCAAAAGACACGTGTACAAATTTCACAGCAATCGGAATATTAGTTGGTGGGATAAAACATTTTGAGTGGAGCAAATTCTGTTAGTTCGAAAAAAATTGATGAAAGAAATTGCTTTTGAAGCTAAGGCTTGGCTTGATGAACATTATAAAACTTTGCACCAGGAAAATCAGCCGTTGAGAAGTGAAGGTGAAATGAGCACCAAGGATAAGGCAAGCAGTGGAGACCTCAAAGAGGTTGTTAATGACGAAAACATAAAAAAGTTGACTAAATGATTTTGGATGATGATGATTGAGATAGTTGTGGCTCTGAAAATATCAGAGGAACGTGTTTTACATCGCGAGAGCTCACAACCGATCAAAAACAATAACGAAATGATCATTCTGAGCAATGTTCGACGCTGTTTCACCATAAGAAACACCATCGTCCTCTTTGCACGTGGTGCAACTATTACATAACATTATTGGAGCATTGCGTCGTGTCACAAATCAATGAAAACAATGGCCAAATTGCATAAATTGGGCTCTGAATTGCCTTCCCATCCACTGTATTCTCCAGATCTAGCCCCCAACGAATTTTTTCATGTACAGTGACCTCAAGAGAATGCTTGCTGAAAATAAATTCATCTCCGGTTAAGAGGTACTCTTCGAATTACCCACACAGCACTAGATATTCATGGAATATTCCCTGTATATCATAAAACGAACGTATATATTCCAAATATTCATAGAATATTCTTGGAATATATACATGCCTTTAGAATATTCATAGAATATGCTTGAATGGATATGGCAGGATTATTCCCGAAAGAATGTGCATAGAATGTCTATAAAAATATGATATCAACAGGTAACTTTTGGAAGCAGTGGTCTCATAAGGTGGAGTTCTCCCCCGTCTTCTTGGTGTTCACAGCAGATGTGCCTAAGCCGGAGAACAATTTCAACCAGTTGGCACTCTACACGGACGACACAGCTCTTCTGGTGGGATCCGCCAACAACACGCTAGTTACAGGAAACCTGAAACAACAAGCAAACGGATCAGCGGAGTGGGCCATGAAAGATTCGTATCAACACCAACAAGAGTCAGGCGATACTACTTATCTGCAGAAAGGTGCATCTGGAAGGACACGTGGTCTTCATGGGACAGAAGATTCCTTCGACGAAGGAAGCAAGATACTTGTGAGTCCCCTCGACAGAAAACTTACAGTCAGGTCCCATACCCAACAGATATAGGGTTGGGGCTAACCGCTCGACACAACCACTTCCCCATCATTGGACGCAGAAGTAACATGGATTTACTAGTAAAACTGCTTCGAATCAAGACCATCGTACTCCACACCATTTTGTAAGCCTCCACTGCCTCGAACCTGTGCGCAGAAACATGCAGACTCCAGATCCAAACGTTAATGAACGTCTGCTTGCTGGAGACCGAGATACATACCCAACTGATGCATCTACCGGGACCTGGATCTTAGCACCCAGTAAGTGGTTGTAGTCCTGAGAAACAACGCACTGAAAAGGAACGACCCCAGATTCCGCGGGAGGAAGGCCGACGAAACAGAACCAGAGACCACTACCGGAGTCGCCGTCCAGAAGCTCCGATGAGTATAAAAACCTTATAGACACACACACAGTCCGGTTTTAACACATACACATTAGTCCGCGACACAGAACTGCTAAGTACAGGGGATCACTATGCACAAACTACGTACAATAGTGTCAGGTTATATATTATTTGATTAAGGGAGTACCTATAAGCAGCAGACGCTGACTTCCGGCCACAAGAGGTTATATTTCAATCTGGCTGAAGAACAAATCAGAGAAGGTTGGCTCTAAGAGATTCTAGCTTCTTCGTGTTAGGAATCACACGTTAAAAGGTAAGACCTCGTTAGTCCTTAGCTCGCACAAGTTTCTCAACTTCTGATAGTTTTCGTTCGTATGGGGGCGTCAGCTGATTAACGGAAAAACAGATTTTAAAACAGATTTTTTTTTTCACACAGTATTCGTGTGAGAAAAATTCTCAGGGCTCTCATCCACTGGGGGGATGGTAGTGGTTGACGGTAGATTTCGAAGCTTGGCTTTGCGACTGACCGCCTTGAGGAGCCTTGCTTATCTTTTATATTAATAGATTGAGTTCATTGTCGATCCCATACATGGCGACTTCGTAAGTGGAAATGTCATTGCCATTGCCAAGCCCTTGCCCTTGCCAAGAATATCCCATAAAAGATGAACTAAAAATGTTTTACAGGACCACATTTTGTGTAAAGAATCGAAGATAAATAGAGTGGTTCATGCAGACATTGTAAGGATGTATTATTTCAAGACAATTTTGGTATATTTTGAGATATCCTGCGTTAGAAATGTATGACCACATTGGGATATGCTGCGGATGGTATGTGCTATCAGAGAGCATAATCGTTTTCAACTAGTGTGTAAAGTTTGAGTTCTAGAGTTCTATATCGGGTACATTGTTGATAATCTTTTTTTTCACAAACTTCACACAGCAATTTGATCTTCACAAGATCTCTGGTGAAGATCAAATCGTTAAGTGTAGTTTGTGAAATTACTATGGATCTTGATCTAGTAACGGCAAGGTCAGTCAGAAAAATCTTATTTCTTTCTCATTCACCACTCTATACACGATTAAAAATAATCATATCGTTTATTGCATTTGATTTCAATATATTTCTCAAGGGAATATAGCACCTTTACATTCTTATTCAATAAATAAAATATTTTTTCACACAAAAACAGTTATACTGCCAAAATTCTTAAATACTGCATATAAAATAGAGATACGTTCAAAACTCTTGGCAAGAAAATAGTATCAAATACAGAGCTTGCTGGATTTTCTTCATATTTACAAAATACAAACTTAAAAAACTGAAGTTCAATTGCATTGTGTTGTTAAACTAAGATAACTTAAAAATAAAAATAACAGAAATATTACTAACAAAGGCAGTTTTTTCAATAATACAAAGTAAGTAGAAAAGGCAAATGCTACTGCAAAATTACTACAATTTTCTAATTAAAGCACTCTCTACCACCTTACTATAATTAGAAAAGTGACATGTTCCCAGGTGTACAATAAATCAAGTTTAGAATTTGATATCCAATCACTTAGAAAAAAAGAACGAAGAGTGATCCCAGGAAAATTGAGTTATAATTGTTGATCTAAATGAAAATGTCAAATGAATTTTGCAGAAAAGTATACCTATCTTTCAATTTTATACTATACCTATATTTCAAGAATATTAAAAAATCTGCTGTTCAAAATACAACTCTGGTGGTCTGATGATTCAAATATAATTTAAAATAGATGTTTCAGATATGTATATTCTGTTAGTGGTCCTCACGATGGAGTGTTCGGTAGGTATCAATGATGACAATGGAGGTTTGTGAAATTCTTGGTATAATACTGGAAGATCACTTTTATGGTTTGTCAGAACCTTTTGGCTCTTCAAATCGTTAAGTCATAGTCCCTACAGTGCCATGATTTTAATGTCATTGCATTTTACAACTATTTGGTCACTAGATTGATGAAGTGAAGAAAAATACATCAGCTAATAAAAAAATTCAACATCCAAACTAGTTTTCAGTCGTATAGAAATTATTATTGATGAAATTCACTAAACCACTATAATTTTCCCAGATACGAATTAAAATATAAGGTTGATTTGGAGCTCAGAAGTACTGAAGCAATAACTCTCAAAATTGTCAAAGATTCATGTGAGAGCTGATGCCTCACTGCGAAAATGACATTTCAATCTATACGGACGTCTCAAAAAGCAATCAATTCTCTTCTGTACAGACTGCCTACAACCTGAAGAGTATTCACAGCCAAACTCTTTGTCATTTATCAAATCCCGTGAAGAGGGAATATATAACTTCAACGGAGTCTTTGAGTTCATTACCTGAAATAGGTGAGCAGAACATATACCAACAAAAACCTTATCAGACAGAAAATGAAATGGCAACTAATACTGGAGTGAGCTGTTTTTTGCAAAACATTTTGAAGAGATTGTGTTGAATTACTGAAAGGAAATGAATATTGCACTAGATTTTATCGGTTACGAATAATATTATTGAAAAAGACAAAAACTCACAGAAAAATTTTCCTGGGACCAAAGCTATATCAATAATTCTGAAATGGACTACAATAATTCGGAGTAAATTTTAAAAAAAAGAATAGTACATAATAAACACTGTCAAAATAAATACAAATATAAAAATTATATACATAGCCGTATACTTATCCTACTATTCACAACAATAAATTTTGACAGACTCAGTCTTCTCAATAATGCACTTAGCAAGGCACTCGTTCAATTAATTATATACTCTATTCGTGTAAGGCATCGGATGATATGTTGAAGTCTCGCAGATTTGACATGTTTCTGGAAGATGACATTTTGCTGGTTATTTCTTCGAGGAGGTAATGCAGTATTTTAGAATCGCCGTTGCCCTGGGGAGGGGCTCTTCGCTGGGCTTCTTTGACGTCATGGAGGGCGCTTTCGAACATATTCATGTCTAGCTTGGCCTTAGCCCTGGCAAAATAGGCTTCGTAGGATTCCGGCTTTAACTCTAACACTTGATTAGCTAACTCGACTGCTTCTTGGGGTTCCTGGAATTAAACAATTACTTTAGTAACTTATGTAACATATATGACAGAGTTTGCAAGACATTATTGATACTTGCAGCAACAGGCAGAAGGATTAGAGGAATGGGCCAACCTGTGGATGATCAGTATAAACCCTGACAAGAGTCAGGCAATACTGTTCACCCAGAGGATGGTACTCTCGGAAGTAAACGTCATCTTCAACGGACAAGAAACTCCGTGGACCAACGTAGCTAGATACTTGGGGGGTCAACCTAGACAAAAGATTAACGTTCAGGTCTCACGTACGGTAGGAATGGCGAGATCTGCCCGACAAAACATATTACCAATAATAGGTCGACGAAGCAACATGGGGTTGAAAACTGCTGCTGATAATGACCATGATATTACCGATAATCTTGTATGCCTGCACTGCCTAGGGCCAGTGCGCAGCGACATACAGAAGACAGATCCAGTCGTTTATGCACGGGTGAGTAAGGGCCGCCGTAAACGATCCAAGATATGTACTGAATAGGTACATATCTAGACCTGAACATACACTACGCATACATGAGAAAACACGCAGAGGACACGTTTGACAGAATTCAAGTTCATGACAATCCAGCGCTAAGCGATCTACTACTGAACAGGGATGACCCCAGATTCCGAGAGAGGGACACACACAGGAGGCCAACGAAGCAGAACCAAAGGCCACCTTCGAGAGTCGCTGTCAGGCGGCTCCGGTAAGTATAAAAATGTCTTAACCAGACTCCAAATTCAACTCATTTTCAGATTCACTAAGAAACAAAAATGCTTGCGATAAAAAACACTCGCCTCCAGTTGGTTTTTGGAGACTCCAAGCAAAAATTTAGTTAGGAAAGTCAAGATAAAAACAAACAATAGATCAGAAAGCAAAAGCACCTAAAGGCTGACTTTCGACTAAAAGAGGTCAGATGTCAATCTTGCTGAAGTGCCCATCAGTAAGTTGTGGATCGCTCCGGAGGAGTGGGGATGGATGGACGGGATGGGTGGACGAGATGGCATGTTCTGCACACATTAACCGTGTAGATTTCAACTCTGGACACTCAACCCGGGAGGGGGCAGGGGGCATGACATCATTTAGAGAAACAGGTATACTGAAAATTTCATACTATCAGAGCCTGTACGACTTGCAGAACAATATGGAATTGAACCATGATATTGATTTCTACACACTCTAAGAAAGATCACAAGAATCTGAAAACCTGAAAAATTGTCTAAGTAAAACTCAAGGTTAACCGTCTAAATGTGGTGGAAGTTAAATAAGCAACTGAAATAGAACGTTGCCAAACAGATAATTGTCAAATGAAGAGAAATGGTTCGTCACACCTATTTATGTTAGTCCCATATGAATGTAAAATAAGAAACTGAAATAGAACGTTGCCAAACAGATAATTGTCAAATGAAGAGAAATGGTTCGTCCCATCTATTTATGTTAGTCCCATATGAATGATGATATTCTAGCGGTTCATTCAAGATGCTACGTCATAGTGGACGGCAAAATCACTGTCATCATATTGTCTTTTAGGTTCAATTTTTATTTATGATTCATATAAATTTTGTTTCAAAATTAATGTTACAAGAAAATATTGAATTATTCGAGGATGACACAAAATTACTGTATTTTTCTTACGATACTGAAAAAATTACAACAACGTGTAATTTTCAAACTACGAGAGTTTTAAGATTGTTCATTGATGAAAGTAGGTATCTGTTGACACAACCATATTAAGATGTGAAAAAATCAAACAAATTTGGAATTAATACTCAATTTAGGATAATATATATCATTCTTTTCATATTTAAATTCAATTTGAGAAACACTTAGGGCATACTATACGAAAACCTCTTATGAGGCAGAATGAAATTATTAAATGTAGTTTTGAATTACCTCATCATGAAACTACGTATATCAAATTTATATACCTATGTATCACCTGATATTTCAGATGTTCAGTCTATTTTCCAATTAACAAACCAAACCAAAAAACTACTAGTTACATCATGATGTTCAGAATCTCGAGAGAGATCAATAAATCATTACGTGACAAGATGTATAATAATCTTCGGGGAAAATTTAAAATGAAGTAAAAAACAAACATTTTCCATTCCGAGTTAAAAAAAGTTTCTACTCTCTTCTTCCGACTCAAATTCTTTATTATGCATTTTTGTTTTTTTTTTTTCTTATTACAATTTGATCATCAATAAATGCTGTACACTTATTTCACTGAACAATTAGTATTAAAATAATTTTTTATTATGTAATTATCAATCGTTTCATTAACATTCTTCTTTGTTGGGGTTGATATAGATTATTATNATTCAATGAACATTGCCAAGTTGGAAACTATAGCTCGAACACAACATTCATAATTTAACACCATATAACGCCGAACCCCAATTGACGATGACATTTTCCCTTACGAAGACGCCAACTACGGAATCGACAGAAAACTCAATCCTTGAATATGAAAGATAAACGTGGCTCCCTAAGTTGGACAGTTGCAAAGTCAAGTTGCCTTGCAGTGAAAGACAGGACGAATCTCGTCGGCGGGTGCTGAAATCCGTACCCATACCCAGGAAGGAAATAGCGGCAATGACGAACGTCATTTAGCCACACTCCGACTGCGACACCTCTTGTATTCCTTCAATGACGTCACGGTCATTATGATCCCAAAACCCCACATTACCGGACAATCATCAGCCGATGAGCTGGACCCCATTGATGACCAAAGTAGTAGGAGACGTCATCCTAAAAATACTTGAGGAACAGAGCGAGGAAGTGAAAATCCCACCGGACGGACAGTTCGGATTCAGGTCAGAACACCTATGAATCTTGAAGTCCTAATGGTGGTTGACTACGCGATAGAAAATTTTAACCTATTCTAAATACACCAGACCAATATTCCTAGACGTCTCCAAAGCGTTCGATAGAATCTGGCACAATGGGCTGGTGGCCAAAATGACAAATTTTGGCCTCACGAGAACAATGGTAAGACTAATCGACCTTCCTCTAGCTGACCAACGATGCTGATGCAAAGTATAGTCTACCCATTCCCAATTGGAACGGCAATAAATATAAGAGTACAGTCATAAACATTTCTTGCCTGTGGCCCCTAGTCGCCCAGATAGTTAGTGAACGTGCTATCAAATGTAGTTGAGGAATAAAGGCTAAGTTTTTTATGATCCGATATGAATCAATCTCCAATGATAAACTGAGTTTTTCAGTTCTGAAATTTCTTCAAACTTTTCAGTGCTCCTCTCTTATGGATGACTTTTTTGTTCTAACCAATCCGATATCGGTTGAAAGCCATGATTCAACATAATATAAAGTGGGCTAACGGCAAAGTTATCCACAAAAAAAAAACTGAATCAAATTGAAATCCAATGAGCGCACCTACGAATTGAGCAACACCATCTAACATTAGCTTCTATTTAGTGATTCAAGTGACTGAAATCATTCCTGACCAACAATACTTAAAAGTATATAACAATTACTTATAACTTAATTTACCTTCATTGGCGTACATGCACAGTACAGGAGCATTCCCCAAGAAATCAGTCACGTGATTGGGAGAAGCTCCGGCTAGCAGCAGCAACCTCGACACCTTCACGTTCGGACTGTACATGTTTCTGATATTGCTTACGGCCGCCGACACATTCTCGGAACTTTCCGCCACCCAGTAACCTTGCAAATCCCTGGAACTGATCACCGGCAAGGACATATTTCTGTACACGTGGGCCTTTAAGATGTGATGCCCCAACTCCAGAGTTTTCTCGGGATCGAGAGGAGCTTGAACCCTTGACAACCTGAACGCTATGCCCGCGTGACCAGAACGTAGCTCACAAATGAACTTGGTCGGCTCGTTGTCGTCTCTACGAATCAACCACTCCCTGAAGGAAGGGTGGAAAAACATGTATGTATTGTCCAGTCTTTTCACTAAGAATCCAGAGAGGAGTTTGAACCTCTGTAAGAATTCGTTCCACGGCAAGAAATTGTCTACGAGTAACGAGTTTACGGAATAATAAATCTCTAAGAGAGTGAGAGGGTAGAGAGCTGCCAAACACACGCTGAGAATATGAGTGACTTTCTCAAAGGAACGTATGGTGGGGAACCTCAAATTGAAGTGGAGTAAGTAGATTTCAGCCAAGGTAACCGGAAGCACCTTGTAGCCAGAAGATTTCACGACAAGCTGACCCTTCTCCAACAGGTCAAGAGTCAGCTTCGCGAACAGGAAGGAACCTTGGCTTGAATTCAGAAGATGCTGAGAAAACTTGTGTTGGGAGACGCTACCACTTTCGACTTTTCCGGTAGTAGCCAAAGTAATATTGCTTTGTATACTGGGGCTGTTCTGCAATCTAAAGTTGATATAGCCTAAAATATCCTTCTGTATATTCTCATTGGACTGTATATTATCCAATGAAACTCTAGTGAACGGAAGCTGCTTGGTGAGTTCTTGAAGCTGGGTTCTAACCGTACCGACCACTTTGAGCCAGGAGGGAAAACTGGGGATATGTTTCACAAGGAATGTTGTTATCGTATCACCGTGGTCCGGCCTGTGGTATTCCGCATCGCAAAGGGCGTCAATAAGGATAACGCAGTTGATATTCTCTATTTTTCCTATTCGTCTTAGGCTCGCTAGAGGTTCCAGTATGCCGGTGGTCAGGGCGATATCTGGATTGGCAATGCACTCCTTGAGCGACAGAATATTTTGCAGGTGTGGTTCGCCAATGAGGTGCTCGCGGTAAGCTACCAATTGAGGAGCTTGACACAGCTGCGCAGCCAACGAATGGATGAAGTCAGGTACTGAACAAGTGTTGTTGTTATCGGCTTGGCAAAAGTGATATGCCACTATGCTGCTGGCTAGCTTCTTGATACTTTCGGAAACGAGATCTATTTGGTAATAAATGCTTTGGGGGCTTCGAGATCGTTCGGGTGAGTGTACTCTCTGGTAGATAGGTTCTTTTCGTCGTCCGAAACAGCTATATTCTACCAGCTGGAGGATAAGGGCTGTCTTACCCGTTCCTGGATTGCCGGTTAGGAGAACTCCAGGACTGGAAGAACCTAGTAGAAATAAAGTAAGTAAAGTAAGCTATTCGATCATCTTAAATATTCATAGACATAGTTCAGAATAGTTAAGTATGAGAAATATTTATTATGTCAAAACTTAGTATTCATTGCTGAACTTACTTGTGATTGTTTCAATTTCTTTGATGAGCCAATGCCTTCCGAGGAACAGAGGGTTGGATTCCTGGAGTGGCACTTCGAAAAACAAAGGTTTCAGGGTGAGTTGAGGGGCTTTATACTGCCTGATACGTATCCTAGGATCAACAGAGCCTTTGACATCGGTTCTTGCTGACCTTCGTATACAAGTTCTCCTATTCCTGAAGGTATTCATTTCGTCTTGTTGCGTCGCTGGAAAAAATAGGATAATTGAACAAATGAGAAATAATAATATTTTTTTAACGGGTGATGATATTATTTTTTGACTGTGTTGCTGTAACCCAGTAAGACTTGTGATCAGTGCTCATAATAAGTTTACCTCTTGGATACAAAGAGTAAATGAAACAATTTAGGGCCTTTCCGAAACCTGGTAAATTTTTGAAAGGTTTCGATAAGTTCTTTATTATAATTCATACTGGAAACAATAGAAAGGCAATTTGACAGATATACAGATATATCTGCTTGAAGGGCAGATTATGTTGAAGGAAACGGCTTGATGTCGGGGCACATAATAGAGAGAATCGGCTTACATGATTCAAGAAGCTTTCAACTGTTGTTTTAAATATCAGAACGTATCCTTAGAATCATCTTAGTATCGAGGGTAAAAGGAGTAAGAGGGATAAACTGTAGCTGGATAAACAGTTGAAATAATATATGACCGTTATCGGAAACTGATGTCGAAAGATTGTCCTCAGTAGAGGTTTCTTTTCATTGTTATGGAACTTTATATGGAAGAGCCACTATATACAAACAACAAACTTAAACAACTAATGGAACTACCGATAAAATAGTTTAGTAATTTTGTAATTACAAGTTGAATTGGCCAACTAAAATGTGTCATAACTTACTTGTGACGCTGTGTCTTCTGCTAACAGGACTGGAGCTGCAGTTGCTTTGCCCAGACATCGACATCGACATCAGCGAGGCGACGCTATCCGAACTAGGGTTAGTCCTGTGTTGATCTTCCGAACTACCCGTCAGTGTCGACACTGGGCTAGTATTATTTGACAACATGGCGGATGTTTCGTAACTTGCAAGCGATGAGCACGATTCGTGGTTTCTACCTTGGGCTCTCTTCGGACGTCGTGCTCCATCACCCAGAAGGAGACCCAGTCGCATGTACATGTCGTTTTCGGACGACTTCTTGTGAGGGATGGGTTTCAGAGTGGCTTCGTCGTCTATAATAGAAGCATGAGATTAGATGATAGTTGAGCCAGCATTTGAGATTCAGCCATTCTGTTATTGGTGCTTAGCGAGTTTCCAAAATTGATTTTTTTCTGAAATGTTCTGTGAAGTAGGTGAATCTGATTGAAGATCAATCATTTATGGTAATTTTCAATTATCTATAGAGGTTTTTCATGGAATCAGTTTTGAATGGAATATTAACACTCACTTTTGTGAATTGATAGTTTTGCAAATAAACTTGAAGTGAATAATGAGGAATCTATAATTAAAAATGATATAATGTTGAATTGCTTTTCGACTTGATACAAATTTGAATTTGGAAACGATTTATATCAACAATAAAAATATGTTTACATTAAGTTTATATGAAAAACTTCAACAAATGTCTTCTTCGCAAATAGATTAGATAATGATTAGTGCAGTCAATGCAGAGTTCTTACTGATGATGATACTGTTCAAATATTACTTTCATATTCAATCAATTTTGTAAACTCTTGTGCTTCATAAAACATGGTGTGGTAAAACAGCCACTCCAAGTTGCCACCTTTAGTAAAAGGGGATTTTTACATAACACTAACAAAAAAAAATGGAATATTGGTGAATATAAAACAAAATGCAGTGCTACATAAACGCATGCTGAAATAAAAATAAAAAAAAACAAACAAAAGAGAAACATCAATTTCGTGCCTGTTATCAGTTGATTGAGGCCAGAACTTGCACTTCTTGATCCGGCATTCCAAAGTGACCGCATTTTCCCCAAAACTACGCTAGACCAATGCCTTCCTTCGTTAGATGTTGTTGATGATGTCATTGCAGCTAGAGAAAATATTACATTCATTCGAAACAGATGCAAAGTTTAAATACCAAGATAAAATGTAAAATAAGTTTATGAAGAAATAATGAGTTTGATGTAATATGTTTGATGTAAAAATTTTAAATATTTGATTCGTTTTGTGTGATTATTCATAAAAATAATAACAATATAATCAAATTTATTGGAAAACGTAGCGAATAAGGTAGCATTTTGCTTAAACTATGCAAAGTTACGGAGCATAGCGATGACAAGAATGCAGTGGCGGCGCGAGGCCCTCTGGTACAAGAAGAACGGTCGATAAGATAGAATAGGCCTATATTTGTTTAATTTTTAGTGTTCTTCTATCACATTTCTCTGGGATATTTTTAGGGATAGCCAATTGTATCTTTCTGTTTTTCATTACACTGCTGACTTCAATTACACCCAGGAAAAATCCGTAGGCATTAGGTTGGGTGTGATACACTGTTTGGGACCTTTGGTGTAGTAATAAACATTACCGGAGTGTTTTCCCAACACCAAACCGTTATTTCAACACCTCGAAATGTGTTTCGATCACCAAGTGATCATCTTCAAGAAGAAGATCAAACTGGTGAACACTTGGTGGTCGAAACACATGTCGTGGTGTTGAAATAACGATTTGATGTTGGGAAAAAACTCCAGTAATATTCATTAGGTTGGGTGATCATATTTTTCAAACTTTCTTTACTCATAACTCAATGACGAATAGATTCAGATGAAGTTCTGGTGAGTTCTGAACCAAAACCGGTTGAATTCAGTGCAGTGATCAGATTTTGAAGTTGAATTGGCGGAATAAGAGTCAATGACTCATTTTTCAAATTTTATTCCTATAACTATTTTAATAACGAACGTATTACGACGTGAGTTCAACATGAACCATTTAGAAACCACTAGAATCCTGTGATGGTATCAGATTTTTTCAAAACAAATCGTTTGTTTTCATTTCTTTTCTTCGAAAAAAACTGAATTGGTTGGAAAGTATTAGTTTTGAACTTTGATACTTCACATTTTGAGGAATTAGTTGAAAGGGTTACACATAACTCGTCTGCAGATTTCAATTGCCCGCTATACGTGCGGTAGCTTCTGATTGGTCGGGGAATAACGGCAAAAGTGGAGGAGTAGGGGATGTCTGTAGTGAGCTTTGAAGGTATAAGGCCCAACTCACACAGAATGGACGCCTCATCTCTGCCAGACGTCCATTCTGTTTGAAATGGGCCTGAGGTCGTGTAATCGCCAGAATGGACCTGCTCAAATTTGCACGTGTATTAAAAATAACGGTTTGTTCAATTCACTTGAAAAATAATGAATTCTCAAAAATGATATTTATGATTTTTCCCGAAAAAGTCGAGAAGATTAATATAAATTGAAAGCATTCATCACTCAGCGGTAATTGAAGGAATTTGACTAGAATCAATCCGTTACAACGAGGCGTACTTTATTCGTAAGCACCTTGTAAGTATTGAAGGAAGTCGCAGGTCGACTATCTGCAGGCGCAATGAGTGGGAAATAGCATATCCGCTCCACTAATAACAATGGCGCGACAAATAGAGTAGGAAGAAGACAAAAAAGATACATAGGAAATGTATGTAGTTGTAGAAATTCAAATCTTACTTTGAAAGGAAATGAGACGACTTGATTTACAGTTTTTCAGAAGTTAAAATGTATACAGGGTTGTGTTACCTACTTCTCAGTCCAAGATTTGTATCAGACTTTTTGAGTGGACCGTGCGGTTCATCAAAAATATTGGTATTTATGTATTTATTATATTAATTTGTCTATAAAGACGAAAGGAAGCTTTTGCGTTGTGGAAATGTTCTTGACTGGGGAACTACCTGAATCTATAATTACCATTTTGCGATTTATGAATCTGAATTGAAGGCTGTGTGAGTCCCATCTGTACTCATAACCTTGAGAGTATTAACAAAGTATTACTTTTTTTGGTTTTTTACTGACAATATATAAATACTAATCATTGAAAATATTCCAGAAAAAGAACGGTATGCGTGGATTACTTGAATCAGAAATTATCCATGATTATATTCAAACAATTTTCAAAAATTTCTTCCTAATTTAGACGCGTTTCGCTAACATCGTAGCTTCATCAGTAGAAATGAATCGTTACTACCAATACGAGGTCCCGTTAAATAATGAGACTGGTTACGAAAAAAGGGTTTTATTATGAAAATTATTCTACATTCGAATGCTCCCCTTCAATATAATCCCCTCCCCTCCTTTCCATACGTTTTTTCATTGACTGAAGCAGTGCTTGGAGTCTTGTTTGGGGAAGGCCTTTAGGAGTTCTGTTGTTTTTTGCTTTACCGCTTCCATAAACTCGAATCGGATTCATTTTATAACAGAGTTTATCTTCAGAAACAACAAAAAGTCTCACGGTACCAAATCTGGTGAGTACGGCGCGTTTTCGAGCACTGGAGTGCGTTTATCGGCTAAATATCGCTTAACAGATAGCGCGTTGGCGGGTTGGCTGTCCTTGTTCATCTTTCACTGCCTGAATCACTGTGCATGCTGTTTTTGGTGCGTGCATTAGCATTTGCTCAACCCCCACATCCCGCTGCATACGGGAATGACAGAATCACTTGTGGTTCTGTTATTCCTTAACTGAATGGCATTCCAACGATGGCTCAATTCTAAGGTGTGTGTATCCGTGCCGAGAGGATGAATGACACTGAGCCTATCAGCTGTCACTACGGAACCTTCGAGATACCAGGCGCCCTCTCGTCGTAGCATCGCCTTGTCACGGTAATGCGGGGCTCTGCCGTGATTGACCTTCTTTCCCAAGCTACTAGTGGGACTTTAATGGACAGAGTAAACTTGAAAATTATTTCTGACGCTGAATCTATAGAGGAGATGGATGTTTAGTTTACGACTCCAACTAACCTCCCTGTGAATTTAGTTCAGGAGCGGGTCTACAGAGGATATGAATGTCGAGTTTACGACTCCAACTGACCTCCATGTAAATTTAATTCAGGAACAAGTCTACAGAGGAGATGGATGTTGGGTTTACGACTCCAACTAACCTCCCTGTAAATTTAATTCAGGAGCGAGTCTACAGTGGAGATGGATGTCGAGTTTACGACTCCAACTGACCTCCCTGTAAATTTAGATCAGGAGCGAGTCTACAGAGGAGATGGATGTCGAGTTTACGACTCCAACTGACCTCCCTGCAAATTTAGTTCAGGAGCGAGTCTACAGAGGAGATGGATGTCGAGTTCAGGAGCAAGAGCTTCTCAACTCCCCAACTCCTGATCCAACAACTGAACCATAAAAAAAGGTTTGGTGGTGCAGCCAGGAAACGACTGAGTCGCATCCTCAAGAGCGGGGTACGTTAAACCGCCTTCCACCAAATTCTTGAGCGGCGTACGCAGAATTTGTCCCAGGTGGGGGGATCAAACCTCCTATGCGCAGGAAATATTCTCCAGAAGATATATATATCCATGGCATATTCATAGCATAATACAATATCCTTAAATGTATATTCATGAAATATACCTGGAATATCTATTGCTATGTGGGTATAGGTCTATTTTGAGACTAAAGACAAATCGTATTATAAAAATGGTATAAAAAATCGTATGACCGCTATAATTTCCCTCTAAGGCAACTTAATCGAATAGTGTTAATGTTGTCTTATGCATGTATGTATGTATATTCAATTATAATGGAGTCAACGCTGAACAACCTGAAGAATGTTTGATGCTACAACTCTTTATGTACCAAAAACTGTCACCACTGACTGCTCCACCATGGTTAGACATGAATGCACTAAGATTCGCCATTCCTAAAGCTTTAAATACTTCAGGATTTTTCTGTCCAATGAGAATGGTATTTTAAGGATGCAGCGTCAATTGTACCAGAAGAGATAGACCAAGAAATGCAAATGAAATTGTCTCCAGTATTCAAAATTTTGAAAATAAGGTGATAAGAATTCAAGTAATTTGTTAATAGAAAGAAATTTGAAGGTACTATTTTTTTTATAATAAACATATGAGATGATTTATGAATATTCAAGGTTAATTCATCTGACTGAAGCCACATTTGTCGGTTACTACTTGAAATTCCGAAATAACGAAGAAAAAAAGAAAAACAATAGCCAGAAATGTAACAATATTATTCATGCATCTAATATTCTAACTTCAAATATCTTTTTATATCGGAATTGTTGAGGTGAGACGAAGAAATTCTCAAAATGAAGAAAAAATATTTCCTCATTTACAAGATATAAACTTTCTCAACCTATGAATTACTAGAAATTATTTTCTGTTATGGCACCCACCTCTGTCTAAAAGCAGTTCGATGATTCCCAAGTGACCTTCTGCTGCAGCTATCATGAGCGGAGACCGTTCCACAGAATCACACTGTTCAATGGCTGCATAGTTTTGAATTAGTCTTTCAGCGACAGCCCAATGTCCTTCTTTCACAGCGAGAAGAAGTGGCGTCAATCCTTTTTTGTTGGTTGTCGAAATATTAGCGCCTCTGTTGATGAGCGCTGAACAAACCGTGTGGCAACCATTTGCCGAAGCAATTGTGAGAGCTGTTTCACCTGAAATTGTAATTGTTTAGATACGAAAATGTATTAGTATGATACTAGACCGTGCTAACATATTTGTAAAAGGTTAGGTGATGAGATTGCTGTTTGTCGAAGAAACCAGAAGAAATCCCCTTTTGCTACGCAAAACATTTTTTTTCAAATCTCATGTGATTTTTAATGCATTCAGCGCTCACATTCAATTCAAACTTTCCATTAACATTACCACTATAAAAGTTCATATAGTGTGAGTACCTCTAAAATCAGAATACTCAAAATCTTGAATACATCACAATATTGCGATGCCCGAAGATGATATCAAATAGCGAAACACACGTCGCGGTTTTGTAAATTTTCAAGTGGATTTCTCACATCAATGTGTTTTTTGAATCCAGTAAGTATTTTGTTTGGACTACCCTTGATATATTGGACTTTTTCTGT